TTGACTACGGTTTATCGATCCGCCCAGTACTCATTAACAAGATCTCAGGTTTTGAACAGAGATGAAACATTTCTCTAAAATATAAATGTGATATTGTTCCTGTAGTTTCTGTCCAGATGAAACGCATCATAAATCACAATTTAACTGCAGAGTGAACCAGAGATCCAGGCTAGCTGGTTGTTCCTGTGTCGAGTCAAAGGTATAAAGATAAATGCATTACAGACATTCGCTTATTTAAAGCATTGCGCTCAGCTTTGTGCTCAAATTACAGGATCAAGTTTGAAGAATAAAAATTAAACTTGAGAAAATCCTAAACGGTGGTCATAAAAAATGACCCCTACCAGATTTCAAACTCCTTTTTGTCCCTCCCTGCATGTCATCACTTGTCAACAGCAGGGAAACAGGTTGAGGGCTTCAGAAAACAAAAACATAAATGAGCACGAATGGGAAAACTGACAAGAGAGTAAGAAAGGGATTTGAGAGAGGGAGGTGTGCTCACACATTCTACCTTCTGTAGTATGCTGAGAAGCAGTACACTGCAGCACTGATATAAAAGCACATGCATCCTGCCTCTCACCTAACCCTCTACCATGATGTCCTTCTATTCGTTTTGTCGCATACATGAGCACACATATCCACACGGCCTCGCCACACACGTCGGAAAAACTTCAAATGTGTGTGTGTGTGCATGCAGAGGGATCTCATCCAACAGACTGCTGTATTCTCCTCCTGCTGAGGAGCAAACAGTATGCAAATCTTCAGCCAGGCTATTTGTACTGAAGTCACCTTACAGGGGACACTGTTTGTGTCTTTTGTGCAGTGTAGGGGAGGACATCCCTCTTGCTGCATCACTGCTGCAGTTATGGCAATCATCGGCTATCAGTTTGGAAAGTCTGTAAAATGCAGTCCCAGGTTTAACCACAATGACTGGTTTCATTTTGGCCATCACAGAGTTACAATGTGCAGAAGTCAGGCTAGTACACAGCTGACAGCCCTGTTTGACAACTGTTAGAATTCATATTATAGCAAGAACCAATCAGCTAAGTAAAGAGAAACGACAGCCCATCATTACTTTAAGAACTGAAGGTCAGTCAGTTGGAAAATTGATAAAACTTCTGATGTGTCTGAACTAAACGTGTCCAAGTGCAGTCACAAAAACCATCAAGCACTACGATGAAACTGTCTCACATGAGGACGCCCCAGGAAAGGAAGACCACGAGTCCCCTCTGCTGCTGAGGATACATTCATCCGAGTCACCAGCCTCAGAAATCAACAGTTCAGAGGAGACTGTGTGAATCAGACCTTTATCTCAAATAGCTGCTAAGAAGCCACGACTAAGGAAGAGCAACAAGCAGAAGAGAAACACAAGGAATGGACATTGGACCAGAGGAAATCTGTGCTTTGGTCTGATGAGTTCACGTTTGAGATCTTTGGTTCCAAACGCCGTGTCTTTGTGTGTTGCAGAAAAGGTGAACATTGTTCCCATTGTGAAGCATGGAGGAAGAGGAGGTGTGATGGTGTGGGGGACATGCAGCGACATGCCATCCCATCATTTAGTTTTCAACAATGACCCCAAACACACCTCCAGGCTGTGCAAGGGCTATTTGACCAAAGAGAGTGATGGAGTGCTGACCAGACAGCCTGGCCTCCACAGTCACCTGACCTAAAGCCAGTGGAGATGGTTTGGGAAGAGATGGACCGCAGAGTGAAGGCAAAAGGACCAAAAAGTGCTCAGCATCTCTGGGAACTCCTTCAAGATTGTTGGAAAGCTGTGGGTCTTAAGCAGGTCAATTATTCGTTTCATGATGCAGCATGTTTTCCTTCAGTGCAAGGACTTGAGTATACTGTAGGTGTAACCAGGCTCGATTACACTTTGGTGTAAGTGGCCCAGCCAAATCATTTCCTTTTTCCATTTGGGTCGCTCGAAGGAGCTCACTCACCAGCCTGAGTGATAGGATGCCTCCTGTGCAAACAGTCGTGAAATTTCCCAGGATTTCATAGTGATATTATATCAAAGAGGACGTGGTTGGGTATGGGAGCCATAAAGTGGTAGGCCACAGAGGGGCACAGAGTGAGATCAGCGTATGCTGAGCCATAGAGGTCAGAGGCCACCAACTCTCTGCAGAAGCAATCAGTAAAGACCTGTGTTGAGCTTCCACAGGCCCCGCTGGTTTAGAGACTTATTCCCGTAAACGAAGCAAGACGAACAGATTTGATTTCGATTGATTTTACTTGCTAGCAAGGGAAGGACCTCAGAGCAGCCCTTCTGCCCTCGGTGTCAGACCACTTCGAAGAACCATCACCCCACAGTAGCCTTTCATTTCTGTGACACAGAGTTTACACAAACACCCATTGTAAACCCCCCTATGGTGCGTCATAAACCCTAAGGCATTGAGTGTGCATGTGTATGTATGCTCGTGTGTGTGTGTATGTGCATGCATGTGCACGTGAGTGTGTGTGTGTGTGTGTAAATGGGGGTGTGTTTGTGTGACTTCCTCATAAAGGCAGGAAGTTTACTAAACAAGAAAACAGAACCTTCACACAGGACGTGTCCCTATAATAAAACGCTACAGTCTCCCCCACTATTCAACTTCATGTGGTGTGCAGATTAGCTCAAAAACAGTGCATTACAAGCTTGATGCGATTGTTTTTTCATGGCAAGTGCATCCAAACCTCACATCACGAAGTGCAATGCAAGAGTAAAGCACTGGTGTAAAGCCCACTGAAACTGAACTCTGAAACAGTGGAGACGGCAATTCGATGGATGAGTTTGGTGGTTGCAGAAAAACTGTACTTAGTGGAGGTGGAATAATGGTGTGGGGTATCTTTTCCAGGAGTTGGGCTCAGTCTCTTTGTTCCAGTGAAACTTAATCCTTCAGGTTACCAAGACATCTTGGACAATTTCACGCTCAGTTGAACAGTTTGGGGATGACCCCTTTCTGTTCCAACATGACGGTGCACCAGTGTGCAAGGCAACGTCTATAAAGACATGGATGACCAAGTTTGGTGCGTACACACGTGGACAGGCAAATTAATTTATAGCTTAAGATCTACTGGCAGCAGGACTTAAATGATCTTTGTGCTTTCTTCCTGTACGTTGGTGGCTGAGTGAGTCTGCTCTCCAAGTAAAATGGTTTTGTTGACAATGACAATACAGGGTGACTGACACAGGCTGATCCAGCATCCATGTTACTGAACACTGGAAAGTGTGAATCCTTTTGAAGGTGGTTTACGGTTAGCGTAAGTTTTAGAGCTGAGAAAATGGTTAAGGGAGAAAATGAATGCAAGTCAGTGTGATTTCCTCTGAAGGGATGGAAGCGCTCTTCTATGTGTGTGTGTCTGTGTGTGTGTGTGTGTGTATATATCCAGGGCAGCTGTAGATAGCAGTGTTAAATTAGTCCGGGATAATAAGCTGTGGGACTTGATTTGCTCCCTGCGGATTAGAAGTAAACTTCATCTGTCCATCTTCATCACTGACCTGAAAGGCAAAGGCACAGACTTGAGAAAAAGCAAGCAGATGAAAATGCTCACATACGTAGTGATTCGTTGTGAGCACACACAAACAAATGACATACATGTGTGTGTTTGAAAAAGCACAACTGCATGACATTACTGACTTTCATCATTGACCTACAGAGAGCTGCTGTTTGACATGTGAACACATGTAGACGTGGTTTTCATGTGCTTTGATTCTAAAACGACTAAAATGTAACAAAAATGTTACAATGGCTCAGTACCATCATTGAGCTTATTACTTTTCCCACTCATTCACACTGTGACATATATACATAAATGTGTGTGTGTGTGTGTGTGTGTGTTTTAAAACCAAATATCCAATTGAGGGCTGTAAGGAGTATTTGTGACTATGCTCTGTGCACAGTGTATAAGCTGGCAATTGATCACCACCAAATGCAGCAAGCTGAGTACAGCCACAATGCTTACCATGGATCCTTTACAGGAATGGTATGCAGTGTGTCTTTCAGAAATTTGCAAACACTGAAAAACTGAGGACTGAGGAGGCAGGTTTTAAAAATGATGTACAGCACATGAACAGTGTGTCATGTCCTTCATCAAGAAAAGAAATGAAGCTGTGACACAGGACCTGACTAACTAACTGAAGCCTCATCAGAAATGATCTCAGCGGAATGAATCAAGAATCTATTCTTAGGGGGTGTCCAAATTCATGGGCTGCATCCTGCTGAGGAGCATTTGTAGACAGATTACTCGCCGGGAGCTCGAGGGTCACTAGAGCCGCCGAGAACGGCACAACTCCCGGCACATCATTTTCAGATCACCGCGGTCTTTTGCTACTCAGGTTAAACGTGATATATACGTCACTTAGTCAACCTAAAAATGTTATTGTTGGGCTTTTTTCAGTGTTTTATTTGTTCGTGAGTAAATCGGTGTGGCTGAGATTAAAGTTATTAGATTAGATAAAATAAAACTTTATTAATCCCCCAGGTGGTTTTCACACAGCTGAATAAACGTCAAACAGAAAACTGATTAAACAGAAGTGTGAGACGGTCGAGAGTTTACGCCAGTGTCCTGTTATATTTTAGATAGCAAGGAGCAGACAGCCGAGTTTATTAAACTCCACCGAGACAGCGGTGACGCTAATCTGAAGGCTAGACCGTCCAATTTCACAGGGGTTTACTTTGGGTCTACCCGCCCTTCTGAGGACCCGGCCCACGTAGACCGCGAAGGCCGGGTCCTCAGGAGGATGCAGCCCATGAATTTGGACACAACTTTAATGAAGGGGCACTTTCTGCATCCTTTGTTTCTTCCTGACTGTGTTCTGAAATATGTTGAACCACTCAGGACCTTTGCACTGAATCGACAGGATTACTCCACACTGGCTTCAGTGTGTTGTTGGCACCCCCTCCTGTGGTAGAAGTGCACTAAAGTGAGTTGGTGATAATGTCCTGATGTTTTGTTTGAGAAAACAGAGTAAACTGTAACACCTTTCTTGTTCTCTTTCTACTGTCACTGTTTCTCTACAGTATGTGGCTTTTGCCTCGCTCTTCTTCATCCTGCTCTCCATCTCCACATTCTGCCTGGAGACCCATGAAGTCTTCAACACCATCTACAACAAAACAGAGAATGTCACCGTCGGCAACGTGACACGTGAAGAGGTACGGTAAAGTTTTAGTGACACGCTTTGCCTAACCACAGTAGGTACTGCCTTGGGAAATATATGTCTCTTTAAGTACCAGTCATGTGACAGATATTAAAATACAGTAGCATCGGCCTAAAACTTCACTACATACATAGTTGGGACAATGTTATTTCTTATATAAATGCTATTACTGACTGCCATCAGCAGCCACAGCTGTATTTAACTCAAACAGTATTAACTGCATGGCATTGAAACACTCACATAGCCAGGGTGACAAGTGACAATAGTAACTGCATTGAAACACTCGCAGCAAAGGGGGCTAACAGCTCTGATACTGCATTCACACACGCAGCAGGTGGGAATATTAATAATAACAGCTCCATGCCATGCAAAACATTAGCATTTAGTCATTGGCAACATAGCCTACACTCCTCGTGTGTGAATGGCTCTGTAACACTGCTCTGTGATGTTTGGATCAAGGAAGGTCAGCTTCAGCCTCACACAACCTGCTTCTGTATTCTAGCATATGAAGAGAAACCTTTCTTGCATGAATATGTGGTCACCAATGGAAGTGCATGGCCTTGTCTAAGAGTCAAAAATGTCAAAAACGTCTGATTGCTGAAAGCAAACTTCAGTGTCTCATCACAAGATAGTTCTCTTAAACCCTCCTGCTCTTTGGGCATGCTTCGAGGCTGAATGGGTTTCTCACTTCTGCTGTCACTGGGAAATATTCACTGAACTGTCTGAGAGAGACAAGGTGCACAATGATGCTGTCTCTGACAGTGAGGATCAGGTTGTTGTCAGACAGGAAGCTCCAAACTGGGGAAACCTGAAACATCGCCTGTCTTGACCTTTAGCAAGCAAGCAAGCAATTTATTTATATGGCGCTTTCAGATCAGCCACCAGCTGAACACAAAGTGCTGTACACTTGACATGCCAAACATGATACATTGAGCATGTTAAAAAAATGAGAAAAATAGTAATAAGAGGCAGATAGATCTGACAGTCGACAGCATAGCAGTGGAAGGATATTCCATGCCTTCTGAGGATGGTTCCCAGGGGCTGTAAATATAATGAAAAAAGCAGAGGTCCTAAAATTGAGCCCTGCGGGACCCCAGACTGAAAAGTGGCAGAGGAAGACTCATACCCTAAAAAGTTAACACTAAAAGTTCTGTCAGAAAGATAAGACCTAAACCATTTCAAAGCAGTACCACGAATGCCTGCAAGATGGTGCAAGCGAGACAGTAAAATGTTGTGATCTACAGTGTCAAAGGCAGCTGTTAGGTCAAGGAGGACAAGAACAACATGATTGCCAGAGTCACAGGAAAGGAGGATATCATTAAAAACCTTTAAGAGTGCTGACTCCGTGCTATGCAAGTTTTTAAAACCTGATTGAAAGACCTCCAGGATACCATTCTCATTTAAAAAATCCATCAATTGGCAATGTACAATTTTCTCTAAGATTTTAGACATAAAAGACAACTTGGAGATAGGTCTGTAGTTAGCCAATACAGTGTGGTCCAGGGCAGGTTTCTTAAGCAAGGGTTGTACTACCGCATGCTTAAAATTAGCAGGGACTACACCAGATATTAAACTGCTGTTTATAACACTAAGAACAGCCTGGCCTATGCTAGGAAAAATCTCCTTAAAAAATTGTGGTGGGACAGGATCATTTGGGGAACCAGAGGGCCTCAGGTGGCCAACCACATCCTCTAAATAAGAAAGAGACACAGGCTCAAACTGGTTAAAAACAGCAGAGCAAGGGATCAAGACAGAGGGGTCAGACTCAGGAGAAGAAATGAGAGCCCGCGTGGTTGCAACCTTCTCAATGAAAAAACACATAAAATCATTAGACAGTTTATGAGAGGCCTCCAAACAGTCACTTTGTGGAGCATTTAAGACTAAGTCAATAGATTTAAATAACACACGTGGATTGTGACTGTTGGAGGAAATGATCTTTGAGAAGTATTTTCTTTTAGCCTCTTTGATTGCATCCTGATAGAGGCGCCAGCAGTCCTTTAGGATTTGAAGAGACACCTGCAGTTTGTCCCTCTTCCATCTGCGTTCAACTCTACGACACTCCCTCCTCACAGTCCGAGTGGCGTCATTAAACCAAGGATCGGTTTTAGCCTTGGGCTTCCTGGTTTTTAATGGTGCCACAGAGTCCAGAATGGTTAGGCAAGAAGATTGAAACCAGGAGCTGAGGTTCTCTGTGTCCAAGGGAGTACGATCGGTGGGGATAGACAGCTGGTTAAAAGCAGTTGAGAACTGGGCAGCAGTGAAAGGGTTAATAATCCGACAGCGGCGAACAGGAGCACCGGTTTGAGCTGTAGTGCGTGAAAACACAGCATCAAATAATACAGCCATATGGTCAGAGAAAGCAGTGTCAGTCACTTCCACATTAGACACAGGTAGACTGTGTGACAAGACCAGGTCTAGTGTGTGTCCGTGTTCATGTGTGGGACCAGGTACGGGCTGGACCAGATTAAAAGAGTCAATGAGGCTTAAAAACTCCTTCACCAGAGGTTTGTCAGGACAGCAGACATGGATATTAAAATCTCCCACAATAAGAACATGATCGTAGTTGGGCATAATCCCAGCTAGAAATTCTGAAAAGTCATTTATGAAATTCTGATTGTATTTAGGGGGACGATAAATAACAGCAAAGAGCACAGAGTTAGAGCGATTAACTTCAAAACACGTGAGCTCAAAGCTGGAAAACGAGGGCTGTAAAACACACTGTTTACATTTAAAATCCTTTTTAAAAACAACCGCCATACCTCCTCCTCTCCCTGATGTCCTTGGTGTGTTAAAATAGGAACAACCCGCTGGTAAGAGTTCAGATAAAGTACTGCACTCACCAGTATTAAGCCAAGTCTCCGTGACACACATGAAGTCTAGTTTCCAGGAGGTGAATAACTCATTCAGAATAAAAGATTTGTTCACCAGCGATCTGGCGTTTACCAGCCCAATCCTGACAGGAGCCGGGGATGAGGTAAAAACCCCAGCGGCACAGGGGGTCCGACACAGCGGCCTCAGATTGCGGAGGTTCGCCCGGCGCACGTTGAGCCGAGGGGGACAGGGGTCACGGAGGAGCGGCACATCATCCTGGCAGACCACGGGGATGAGGCAGGAACCCACGGGGTCCAGGAAACGTCGGTGCACAAAAACTCCAGGAAATAATCTCTGTATTCCTTTGACGGTAGTGGGATGGTGTGCTAAAGAGATCTTGAGTTTAACCAGCCGACCACTGCGCCTACCCCGACGTCTTCGCCGGGGAGGTAGCATGACTGCACGGCATGGGCAAGTTGGGATATGTGACAGCAACGGACACCATGAATTCTGACCTCCGTTAGAAAATGGAGCTGTATTTTGTCCAGAACTTCGGAGGTTCAGAAGCGATTGGCGATCGTACACCAGTAATGACCCGATTTCTTGAGTGACACACGACAGGAGCAATATAAAAACAAACAAAACTGACAGCGACAGACGAGCAGCCACGTACACCGGCGCCAACTTTGAAGCATCAGCATCTTTATTTGGAATAAAAGGTGTGTTTGTTGTTGTTCTGCACATCAAAAGCAGTGAGGGACACTGCCTGTAGCCCCAAGTTCGGTTCTTTTAAATGAGAAAAAATGTCCGACTGGTATGTTAGCTGACCGAGTCACAGAAAGTCTTCAAAAACATCGAATAAAGGGAAGTTTTTGCCCTGTAAGAACATCTGCACATCTCTGTCCTATTTAAAAAGGCTTGAACGGATCATCCCCTTGAAAGCCATCTTACTTCTGTATGGACCAAAAGGTCCTCTGAGCTGCGCTTTGATCTTCATATCCATTTTTGCAATATCTGTAGTCTTATTGAGCTGAATAGGAAAATAACAAATGTGCTTAATGTTCTCAGTCGGTATGTTCTTAAGTTCATTTGGTCTGACTGCTGTTTGCAGCAACAGTAAGTTGTTGCAAAGAGGCATCAAGTTAATCTGTTAGGCAGCCTGCAGTACATGATGTCTGTTAACTCTGGCTGGTGGCAGACACAGCTGTTTGCCAGTGACGTGTGGCGTACCAGCTTTAGCTGTGTGGAGAAAGACACAATATGAAGCTCATTGTGCTTTGGCATTGGGTGTAGCATATATCTATATGGCTGACTTTGCTGGTTTGCCTTTCAGCACTGTGTGCTCGGTTGTAGGACGTGATGGTTTCATGCATTTATTACTAAGAATAATAATTCAACCCAAGAAAAAAAAAGAATATTCTAAGAATCTTCATCAATGCACATCATCCTCTGTCCCCTTCCAGAAGAATCCAAACCTGATGTAACTCACCGTTGTGTGCCGTTTGCTGGCATCAGGTATGACTGCTAAGTCGCCACCGTCACTGGTGCTGGTAGCTTCTGCTTACCATCCCAGCTTAGTTTGTCAACCCTTTTACCTTACACCTGGTAAGCTTGTAATCTCATGGCTGATTTAAGTTTTTGTCCTTCTTTTTCAAGAAGAACAAAAACATAGTTCGAACTCAATTTCAGTGATCTTGTGGTTAAGAATTAAATATATGTAGGAGACTTCCTGCGTACCACAGTTTGAGAGATCTTGCCACCAGGCGTTTCAGTCCAGTCCAGCCTCTTCACCTCACTGTGCAATACCTTTTGTGCAATACTTTTGTAAATAGTCAACAGTGCAATAGACCTCAATACTTGAAATGTGCAATTCACTTGTATTTTTATTTTTTATTCCTATTTATTCTATTTTATTTATCCCCTTCGTATATTTTATTTATATATGTCTCTGTATTTATATATATGTGTGTGTGTGTGTATATATATAATATTCTGTAACTCTGTAACTTCGGTCGTTGCTGTGCTTTTTTGGAAATCGAATTTCCCAGAGGAACCCACCCGAGGGATTAATAAAGTTCTATCTTATCTCTTATCAGTCCAGAGAGCATATATGGGTAATGTTCACGCCTTCATCTCGTTGTCCAATAAGAACTTTGAGTTTTGATGAATGCTCAAAGTTTTCAGTTTTTCTGCTGAAACAATGCTGTCCTCTGGATTTGATACTTATTTATTATACAGGCTGTACAGTACATAACATCAAACTTTACATGTTTTATGTAACTGAAATGTTCAATTATGTGGGCTACAGAAAATAACAGTAATAGACTATATTTATCTGAAATGTGTAAACTTAATGCATTGAGATGATTTTAACCACATGTAACACCTGCGTATGTGCCAGTGTGATAATGATCTAATCACTGAATGAAGTCTGAACTAGTTCAAGCAGTCAGCTCATAACATGGCTCCCTCTCTTCACATCATATGACTAACACACACACTCTTGGATTCTATTTAAAGGACAGCTTCACCTCTCTCTCGCTCTAACATGTTAGTGCCATTGCTCCTCTTCATCACCGTTTACTACTAAGAAGTGTGAGCAGTGGTCTCCTCTCAATAAAGCCCAAAATGGCTCCCGATGGTCCTGAAACCCCTTAAAAAGCTGAAGCAGATATTTATACTATTATAGCAGTATCTGAAAATGCATGAAGTTACACACTGGCATGTTGCTCAGTACTAATTTGTGGGATCCATCCCTTTAAGGAGATCCAGAGACTGGACCCACACCATATGAGGAAAATGCCCTGAATGGATTCAGCCTCTAGTCATCACTCTAGTACCTGCTATCAAACACACAGAAATCGACTGTTCATTTGTGATTATATCAACTGTATATGTGCAGTCGTACTATATATGTAATAATATTACATCTTAATAATAAAAGATGAGGAACAGAGGTATTGACTGCATTTTATTGTGTAACAGTATATCCATTTGTGATTTGTCATGAAGTGTGGAATGAGAGGCATGAACATGCAGCACTTAGACACCAGCAGGTGAAGCTGAAAACAAACCTTTAGTTCGGATGCAGAAGATCCACAGAGGGAAAAATTAAACAGCAAAATCCAAACTTTGTGAAGAACAGGGAGCACATGAGAGGATGTTAAAGAATGACCTGAAATAGAACAAAGGAAGCAAAATTAAATGCAAGACACAGAAGACTAGCAAAAAGTAAGGATAATAATAAACACCGAAGGTCCACATGAAGGGAACACTGGGTCTATCATCCAGACTACATAAACTGCAGTACTTTTCATATCTATCCCTTTAAAGTCTTACATTGTAACACAGAAAATAGAAACTGATGCTGACAGTAAACAAGACATTTCAACATGCTGCAAGTTTTTAAGTGAGACTTGGAACCTGTTAGTTTCAAGTCTCCCCTTTCCACTACCCCACGACACCAACAGCTTTAAAATGAATCCGCTGATAGAAAGAACAACAGATGACACCTGAATAGATCAGTCTATTGAGTGCTGAACGCTAACTATTATGTGCAGGTAGCTGAAAAGCTAAAACGGCTAGCATCACCTCAGCCCTTACCTTTGCTAGAAACTCTATTCTTGTCTTAATATCAAGAGAGGGACGTTTCAAAATTTTAATAATGCCTGGAAGACTAGTCATGAAGATTTAGTGCCAAGGTGGAATATAGACAGTTTTTTTTATATTAGTAAGCTATTACCAGTTAGCTTGAGTATACTGGCCGATACTGGCCTTGCAGATGCAGCATATCCAGTTGTGCTGCAGACTGTGACTGTTCGTTTTTCCTGCCTCAAAGTTATTATTGATGTTTTTACAACAATGTTAGAATTTCCCGGTCTCCACAGTACCTACCTGAATGTAAACACTAGATGCTTTTGTAAGGTCCATTTGCTGTCCTTCGGACGAAGCTGTGAATGGTCCATTTTACTCTGCTGAATTTTCTCTTGTGCTGGCTGTTTAACAAAAGTCTTCACCTTCTTATTCCACACAGTACCCTTGTAAAATTGCCCATAATCCACAATTTTTATTTATACTTTAATTTGTTTGCATCATTTTACACTCTGCACATCACATTTTAGAGCTATATTTGCTGCATAAACCTAGAATTAAACAGTTTTATCTTTTAAATAAAATTATGTTAAATTTGCGGCTGCATTTTTACATATGTTTTGTGTGTAAAAATAAATACATTTTGTGTAGGAAAATATAGGAATAATGATTATTATTCATGTTATTTTACAAAAAGACATTTTAGTTTACAGACTATTTATTTTGTAATTTTATTGAGTTTTGATGTATTAACAGGAAAATTCTGTAACAGTGTTAAATTATGAAATTACAATTCTTTTACAGTGTGTGACATATGAGCTTGATTAAAGTAATGTGTGTGCTCATTTACATTTTGTAAAGCCACGGGTCAAATAACGGATTAAACACAGTGTTGTTTTCAGCAAAAAGCACTATAACTGCTTCATCTGAACTGGCCACTAAATCAGATTAAAACTCTAAGAAGTCAGACGGTGAGTGTCAGTAATACCAGGTGAACGATAGGTAACAAGAAAAAACGAAGCTCTTTGGGTTCTCAGGTTAGGGTGAAGTAAAACTCTGTCTGGATATTTGCTTGATTAAAAAGCTGGTGTGAAAAACTGCTTCCACTCTGCAGCCGCTGCTTCAAGGCAGAGAAAAATCAATATGTTGATCAGTTATTAAATCATTTACTAAGAAAGAGACCTAATGTTTCAAAATCCACATTTAATCATTTCACCCTTTGTTGCAGCTGATGATGCTACGTTGTTCTTTCTTTATTTTTATGCTATGATGTTTTGTTTATCTTGTTTTGGTTTGATGAGAGTAGAGAAGCTTCTGAGAGGCGTGTAAGACTAAAACTCTGCTTCCTGCTCTCAGCTCTACAGGGTTTTTCAAGAAAGTTTCCCAATCATCTATAAAGCCCACTTTGGCACCACTCAGGCCACCAGCAATTTAAAAATACCGTGCAGCTATATATTCCTGGTCTGAATGGGAGAGGGCCAGGGAAAGCAACAGCATCTGACATTATTTTGGCAAGATACACAACGATGCAACATTTTGCTGAATCTATGTTTATTTTTAGCCAGCGGTTTTAGGGTACCACCAGTGTCACATGCTCTGGCCCTTGGAAGATAATCAGCAATGCTTGCTGCAGTCTTTAGCTTAATGTTTACCAGAACAATCTGCAGGAGGGACAGATGAAGAAGACATGCTGCTTGTGATTTGGCTAACATTTGTATAACCATGTGGCAGCAACTGCCTTAAGCAGATAGCTATAGCTGAGGAGTTACAACAAGTGATCTACCGATTGGAAAATCGATCCCTGGCTGCCCCAGTGTCCAGTCTCCATGCCCAAGTGTCTTTGGGCAAGATGTGTTCACTGAAGTATGATTGTGTGTAAATGTTAGACATGAAGTGTGTAGAAAATAGCTTTTGGGTGAACGAGTGAGTGTGGCACATTGTGTAAAGTACTTTGAGCACAATGTAAGACAGTGTTCATCAGTCTGTCACAAAAGAGCGCCCTACTGCCCATACAGGCAGAATGTAAACAAAAGAAACGATGACAAAGATGCCATCAACACTGACCGCGATATATCATCTGAAACCCCAACAGTGATTTGGAGTGTTTCACCTGCATTTGGATTTTGCTAGCGTGTTCATTTTCACTAATTACCAATTTTTTAAAATTGCTTTTAGATTGTTGGCAATATGCATGTGTGCTCACACTCGTCAGTTTGGGTTTTGCTTTTTTTTCTAACCCTTAGCCGTAAAAAGCCAGTGGGGTATTATTACTGAAGTCAATAGGATAACTTGAGCACAAGGCGACGGAGGATTATTGAAAGTTCAGAGGTCCCATTTTCTGAAAATGGTGTGAATACGATACCGAGAAGGAAGCCATCCAGGATTTATACCACAGGTGCATCTGCTAAGAGATGTCACACAGAAATGTTGTTCTTGGGCCAACAACCACTTGTCAGAAGTCAGACATGTGTCTGTTGTAATGAATAAATAATAAGATCAACTAAAATTCTCTTCTTCTTTTCTTCTCTGCAGATTGTGTATGAGGTGGTCACAGACAGCTGGCTCACATATGTCGAGGGCGTCTGCGTCATCTGGTTCACCATTGAAGTGATGGCACGCGTTATCTTCTGTCCTGACAAGGCAGAGTTCTTCCGCAGTGCCCTGAACATAATAGACTTTGTGGCAATTGTGCCCTTTTACCTGGAGGTGGCGCTGAGTGGCCTATCCTCCAAAACAGCCAAAGACGTTCTGAGCTTCCTGCGTGTTGTGCGCTTTGTCCGTATCCTACGTATATTCAAGCTGACCCGCCACTTTGTTGGTTTACGTGTGCTGGGCCACACTCTGCGTGCCAGCACTAATGAATTCCTGCTGCTCATAATCTTCCTGGCACTAGGTGTGCTCATCTTTGCTACCATGATCTACTATGCTGAACGTATCGGTGCTGACCCAGATGATCCAACAGCTGCAGCCCACACCAACTTTAAGAACATCCCCATCGGCTTCTGGTGGGCTGTGGTGACCATGACCACGTTGGGATATGGGGATATGTATCCTGAAACATGGTCAGGAATGCTCGTGGGTGCCCTCTGCGCCTTGGCTGGGGTGCTGACAATTGCCATGCCAGTGCCTGTCATCGTCAATAACTTTGGCATGTACTACTCCCTGGCCATGGCTAAGCAGAAACTCCCCAAGAAGAGGAACAAGCACATCCCCAGGGCGCCACAGCCAGGCAGCCCAAACTATTGCAAGCCAGATGCCCTGGCAATGGCGACAGCATCTCCTCACAGGTTGATGGGAAATGTGCTCGGGCCTGGCATGGTGGGATCTGGCAGCATGATGGGTACTGGAGACTGCCCATTAGCACAGGAGGAGATCATTGAGATCAACAGGGCAGGTGAGTAACTGGACAGAGGTGAGCCAAGTCTCTTATGGAGTTTGAAGGGATGTGAGGGGGAAAGTTTCTTTAGGTGAAGCTGCTTTAAAGATGATGCATTCTTCCAAACAAAGAGGGGATTATTATCCCCCTATGAAAGATGAAGCGTTGTTAAACAGAGCAAGCTTTTTTAACGTGTTTTTTTTAAACATAGTTTTATTTTAGCTGCTTACATTGAACAATATCACTTGACAAAAAACACAAACTACCAGGGTCAGCATTATTATTGATAGTAATAATCAGCCTGTTGTTGTTACTCTTCTTTGCAAATCTTCCAAGCTCCTTCAGATTCGATGGTCCTGGGGGACGTTAGTCTTCGGTTCAGTAACATTCACGTTTGTCTTCCGTACTTATTCATCAGGAGCGATGTATGACAAAGTGATGACCGAGGCACAGTTTTACAGCTTGAGGTTTTCCTTTAAAATTCTGTCCTTCTTTCTTCATGATTCCTTCCACCTTAACGAGAGTTCCACAATCACTGAGCCGTCCCCAGAGCATAATATTCCATAATACTCCCACCGCCATGTTTCACTGTGGGGTCGATGTGTTGCACACTCTTATTTCTCCAAACGTAAGCAGCACTTAGATGAGCTCTAGTTTCATCTCATCTGATTACAAGATTACAATTCCCAGCTTCCAACTTCTGTCGGACTTGTTCTGTACGACATGAGGGTTAGGGTTATCCCCTAACCTTTTTAATTTGTGCAAATTGGAAGATAACTCTCAGTTTTTGCGCATTTTGAGCACGACAAACCTATCGCACATCATTACACATCAGTGTGCTGTCAATAAAACTAATAATAATAATATTGACCCTGGTGAAAAAGGTTAGAGTTAGGAAGTTTCAGCTATTAGGAAATTCTTAAGTCTCGAAGGGCAAGTTTGAATCTGGGCCGTTTCTCACAGACTGATTCTCATTAGTACTGGTAATCTGCAGGTGGCACTGATTCTTATTATTGTACAATCCACTGTACAATATGAAGCGCCTTGAGGCGACTGCTGAATTTAACTAATAAATTGCATTGTGTAACTATAGCAACATTACAAACACATCCACGATTGCGATGTTGATTTGTGCAACTGCAAAGGAAACCAGTGATGTCCTCACTTTGATTTCTTTTCTGTCCATTACTCAGTTATTTTGTGAAAGTGCACTGTTGACCTGACAATGACATCTATTGTGGCTGTTAGAATATCTTTAACAAATTGATGTGACAGAGCATACAGACAGGTCCTGAGGCTGTCTGTATGCTCTGTCACAACATGTTGCCACAGAGTTGAAGAGCTTCAGACGCCACCTCACCACATAAAGGTGTTGGAGCTTATTTGTTGATAGTAGTGGGAGACCAAACAAGCTCAGCGTATTGACTCATTCTACTTAAAAATGCATTTGGAAATATGAATAACACACAAGTTACACTCTTAAAAAAATCAATTATAAAACCAAAAGGGAAAAGGGTGTTTTGAAAGATATTACAATAGAGAATGATGAGATTGATGAGATGACCAGTTGCTCAATACAATAAAAAGCATTTCACTTCATGTGATACTGTCTCTGCTTGTGTGCTGTGGTTAAAGTAAGCTGGAAGAATCCAGAACAGTTTTCCAGCTACTTCAGTCGTCATCCATCCTTCCTTTTCCACTTACCCAGCTCAAGGTCATGTAGTGCTCAAAGCTTCTATAGGTTGAGAGGCAGAGTGTAGATACGTAGCCAGTTTGTTGGCACCCTAATGCAGAGAGAATCGTTCACACCTATGGGCTGTAGACACACCAATTAACATAAGATCAGTAACTACATGGCAGAGCACCTTGAGAGAACCCTCACACACATGAGGAGAACAGGACAACAATGTTAACCACCATAGTGCATATTTGGTTAATAAGCAATTAAAGCTGATTGATCATGTTTTGTGTGCTACATTGTGGCATTGCTTCTAGTGACACCATGGAGATGAGTAAAAAGAAAAGAAAGAAAGAAGACAGGACACGTTCAGCACGTCATCTATGCCTATATATACATACATCTTTGTTTCAGGCATTGAGATATTCTAATTTTGTGTTATAAGTAAGTAACGTTTATTTGTTCAGCACTTTTCACAGACAGTCACAAAGGGCTGTACACAAAAAAGAGAAATAAATTAGAACATGAAGTGTCATAATAGAGAATAAAAAGGTACAAAATAACAAAATAAAATGAACAGGTTAAAAATAAATAAATAACAATTCTTTAAAATTCTCAACAGAAAGCCTGATTTAAAAAACAACAACAACCTACAATTGAATTCAATTCATTTTTTAAAATGTATTCATACACTAAATCACAACAATAGTTGCCTCAAGGCAATTTATATTGTAAGGTAAAGACGTACAATAATATAGGAAAAACCATCAGGTGACCACCAACGAGCAAGCACTTTGGCAACAGTGGGAAGAAAAAACTCCCGTTTAACAGGAAGAAGCCTCCAGCAGAGGGAGGGGCTAAACTACACCAAGATTTCAAATACTGGACTAAGCAGCTGAAGCAGAAGGAGACAGAGCTTGATTCACAGCAAGTGACCCCCATAGAAGAGATAAGAAATGTTAAAAGATTAAATGTTTTGATTCATCCTGGCACACAGCTATAACAATCATGGCTCAAGAGTTGGGAGGTCGCCTTGTAATTGGAAGGTTGCTGGTTCGAGCCCCAGCTTGGACAGTCTCGGTCGTTGTGTCCTTGGGAAAGACACTTCACCCGTTGCCTACTGGTGGTGGTCAGAGGGCCCGGTGGCGCCAGTGTCCGGCAGCTTCGCCTCTGTCAGTGTGCCCCAGGGTGGCTGTGGCTATAATGTAGCTGCTATCACCAGTGTGTGAATGGGTGGATGATTGGATGTGTAAAGCGCTTTGGGGTCCTTAGGGACTAGAAAAGCGCTATATAAATGCAGGCCATTTACCATAATGGTCACTCCTATAATCTTTTAACTGCCTTCTCCTTCCCTCTTTTACCAGACTCCAAGCAGAACGGTGATGCAGCAGCTAACGCTGCGGCTCTGGCCAATGAGGACTGCCCTACCATCGACCAGGTCCTGGGAGATGAGCGTAGCCCGGCTACCGGTGGGCTAGGCTCCACCACCAGCCGTGAGCGCTACCCGCACGACCGGGCGTGCTTCCTGCTGAGCGCAGGGGAGTTCCAGCGCACAACAGACGGAAACGTTCGAAAAGGTAAGGGGGTGGAGGGGGATACTGAGGGGAAAAGATGCAGAGAGGGGAGGGGGGTACTTGAGTGACAGCAGTGCATGATCCTGATTGATTAAAGCAACAATATGCATAGTGTGTGAAAATATCACGTTTGATCTCAGACTTACATACATATATACACACGTACACTGAGTTAACTACAACACTGAGAGAAGATTACTCCAACATAAGCAATAATAAAAAAGCCATGGTGTTGTCATTTAAAATAAAATGAGTTAAATCATCCTAAAGCACACAATTGATCACATTCCCATTCCATCCATTCTTTTTAATGCAAGCTTAGTTTTGCAGTCTCACTGCCTTGAGACTGTTCATAATCACAAACGCTGTCCGTGGCACATGTAACACATGACTCTCCTTTCTGCTTTCCAAGTATGTGATTGTAGAGGAAGTTCCCTAAATTTGTATGTCCTCCATCTGTACTGCAGAGGTCGCTGCGGCGCTAGTGTCTGGTGCCCTGAGATTGAGTGACTAGATTTACTGTGCTGAACCACAAAAGTAATCACTGATTCATTGAACTGAATTCAATGAATTGAAAAATCATTGTATTAATATTCTGCACTGAGGTGACTGAAGAGTCCCTTAGTAGTACTACACTGTCCTTCAGTGTATGCTTCACACTGTTTATGGCAGCTGATAGAGCTCTTTGTGTCAATCTCTTTTCACACAGCTAAACTGCTTCATTATGAAACACTACTCTTTTTGAGGGATTATAATGTCAACTGTAATTCTTTCTCCAGGTAGGTATTACACAGCAGATACTGGTGCTACTTTATGTTTTTCTACTGTCAACAAATCCCATGAAAACTAAAATAACACTAGCAAATATGTTTTCCTGTCATGGACCTCTGCTGGCAGCATATGTCAGGGTTTCTGTCCGACTTTGATCAAACTGTCAAATACTTGTTTTCCAAATTGTAATTATGTCGTCTGTACTTATATACAGTGATCACAAGCAAGATATAATGTGACAGACTCTCAGAGAAAAGGGCTATTTCCCCCAGGTTGACAAATTTGGTGGTGGTGGGTGGCACTGGTAGGTGTTATGTGCACCATGTCCTCCCTGCTGACTGATAGCAGAGTTGACTCAGAGTCATTTGGGATCATGTTGGGATATATTCCACAGTAGGAAATAGTCCCTTCAGACGTTTTTCCACTGCTAGATGTGCAGAGACAGCACACATAATGCTTATTCACAAGGTATGAATGCATCATTGGAATAACTGGGCTATCTATGCCTGAGGAGCTGGCAGGTTGAAAAACAGCTAATGTGGAGATTTGTGTGCTTACATGGTCCTCCAGCTAAAGGGCTCCAGACCAGTGTGGATACTCGTTTCCTTCTGGGCTTTGTTCACAGTAAGAAACATATCGAACGTCATGTATATTTAGATCATTTTTTGTAAGTGTGCTATTTTTCATATTTTATCTTGCTGAACAGATGGATCAAATACGTTTCAGTGTGTTCACCATATCACCCTGCTTCATTGTTCTGCTCTCTCTCTCACTGTCACTCTTATCTATTCACTGCATAGTTTATTTTTCTTACCTTGTTACACTGAAGTTCATTAACTGTTCATTCTTTGTTTCTTTCTCTCTTCCTCATACTCTCTTCTTTCCCATCTCCACTGTCTTGTCTATTATTCATCCATCCGATGATTCTTACTTTGCCCCCTTTTGCTGCTGCTTATTGTCCGCCAACTGTGTCTGCTGATTGTCCTCATCCATTCATTTTCCTATTATATTCCTGTTTCCAACGTAACGTTTGCCAACATGACCTGCCACACAATTTTCCTTGACCTTCCTTTTTTTAAACTCTCTCACAATCGTCCTGTACCCCCCACACTGTATTTCCCTGACTCACACACACACACACACACACACACACACACACACACACACACACACACACACACACAAAATTACAAAATACATAGCCAAAAGCTGGAGGGGGCTCTGTTACAGCTCGGTAGGATTCCACCTTCTCCTGGATCAAACCACAGAGACACAGAGGTAACCCAGAGCACCCTTAATAACCTGAACTACTAAACTGCATAAGTGAACCAAAGATTACCTTTAAAGTTAATTAAACCACATTAGATCATTAAATATTGCAATAGATATCATTTGACTGAATATGGCTCAAATACAATTAGAAGAAAAACAATACAGTTCACTACACCAGACTAACTATGCTAACATACTGTCACTGAAATGAACCCCTTGAGTCACCTTCAGTGCTGAGTCGTAACCTTATGATATCAGAAGTTGGGTTTTCTTCTTCTTCTTCTTAGAAACAACAACAACAAAAAGTAAGAATCATTCTGATGCACATAAAATGATTCACAGCTTCCAATATTAAACTAGACTACATGTACTACATCAGAGTGCATATAATGTAGTGCACTTAATGCAGTACATTAGAGCTCTGGTCATTAGGTTAGATTAGGCTCAAAATCAGAATCAGAATACTTCATCAGTCGGAGAGGAAATTATGTGGTCACAGTTGATCCAAGACAGCAAGAACAGGAACTAACTAAACTCAATTCAATAATATTACAAAATATAGTGAAAATAGTCTAATAAATACAAATAGATCTTATAAATATCCCAGTATATTGGACAAATGAAAAAGAAATATGTGACATTTTGCTGCCCTTCTTATCATATTGACTTGATGTTTAGGGTGTGTACTTGTGACTTTGATGGAGGGATCGTACAGCGAGCTAGCCAGTTTCCTGTGTAGTTAGTGGTGTATTTGGGTAATCTTAGTCTCCCGTTGTACTGGCCTGTGACCTGTCATGGAGTAGGTGAGAGGTATCGTCCAGTATTCTCCTCATCTTGGACTTCTTCTCCTACACTACCTTTAGGGAGCTCCAACCTCACCATCTTACTGGCCTTGCACATCATTTTATTGAGTCTTGGCATCCATGACCCTCAACCTCCTGCCCCAACATGCAACTGCATAGAAAATAGCACTGGCCACAACGGACTCGACAATCCTGAGTACTGTCCTACAGATGTTAAATCACCTCAGCTGTCTCAGGAAATACAGACGCTTCTGGCACTTCGTGTTGATTGCAGCTGGTTTTCTGGTCCTCTTACAGTCCCCAATCAATTCCTTGGTCTCTGTCACATGGAGCTGCAGATGATTCTGCTCGCACCACGTAACAAAGGAGTCCACCACTATTGGGTACTCCATTTCATTCCCCCCACTGATGAATCCAACCAGAGCAGAGTCATCAGAAAATTTCTAAACATGGCAGGAAGGTCCATTAAGTGACTGATGTCTGTGGTGTAGAGGGTCAATAGGAAAGGAAAGAGGATGGATGCTTGTGGGGTAGCAGGTATATGATGGCATCCTCAGCTCTGAGGCAGGGCTGGTAAGCAAACTGAAGGGGGTGCAGATGTGGCCTAACAGTCTTTCCAGGGTCTTCATGATGTGGGAAGTCAGTGCCATAGGCCTGTAATGCTGGGGGCCGCTGGGACGTGGCGTCTTTGGTACAGGAATGAGGCAGGACGTCTTCCACAGCAGCGGGAACCAACTCACGTTCAGCATGAACGTTTTAATAAAGACTCCACAAAACTGGGGGGTACGAGCCTTGAGGACATGGGGAACTCACCCTGTCTGGTCCTGCAGACCTGCCTGAGCGGAGTCTTCACATTTTACTCTGAACCTGGTCGAGACTGATAGTGACAGGTGGGGGAGGGGTTTCTGGTCTTTCTCGGGAGGCTATAGACCCTTTGACATAGGACGCTGCACACAGAGCACTGTGCTCTAAAGCCCATCTGTTTCTATTGCTTGTGCTGTACAATGGTGGTTTCCCGTTGCACCACGCCAAGCACAAGCATGTCAGTGCAAGCATGCCAGCACTTGCCCTGGCATACAAATGCATGCAAGCATTTTCCTTTTTGCTAAAGCATATAGTTAGGGCTGGGTCAGGTGACCCTGACTCCTCCCTTAGTTATGCTGCAATAGTTGTAGGCTGCTGGGGGACTCCCATGATGCACTGGGTGTTTCTTCTTCACTCACTATGTGTTAACAGACCTCTCTGCACTGAATCATACTTGTTATTAATCTCTGGCTCTCTTCCACAGCATGTCTTTATCCTAAGGCCCCCTCCTCGATTTAGAGATGGTCTTTCCCTTTTCGCGTAAAGCAGCGTTCCTCCATTTCCAGAATGTGGACATCCTCATCATTGAAAGAGTGTCCACTGGCCCGTAGGTCTAAATGGCCTGATGAATTAAGGGGGCGACCGTGGCTCAGGGGGTTGGGAATCGCATCTGTAACCGGAAGGTCGCCGGTTCGATCCCTGGGCTCTCTGTCCTGGTCGTTGTGTCCTTGGGCAAGACACTTCACCTACCGCCTACTGGTGTTGGCCAGAGGGGCCGATGGCGCGATATGGCAGCCTCGCTTCTGTCAGTCTGCCCCAGGGCAGCTGTGGCTACAACCGTAGCTTGCCTCCACCAGTGTATGAATGTGAGAGTGAATGAATAGTGGTATTGTAAAGCGCTTTGGGTGCCTAGAAAAGCGCTATATAAATCCAATCCATTATTATTATTATTAAGTCTTCTGTGTTGTCCACTTAGCCAGAGATTGTTTGGATTCCCCGATGGATGAATCATGGCGGTCGTTCTCTCTCCCCAACCGGTCGCAGCAGATTTAGATTTAGGTTAATTTAGATTTACCAGTTATTCTAACCACATTAGCTTCATGTCTTTGGACTGTGAGAGGAAGCTGGAGTACCTGGTCAGAAACCAAAAGAAACACAAGTAGCCATGTAAACGCCACTCAAAAATGATTCCAGCCTGGCTCCTGAAACTTATGGCCTGTTTCTACGCTGACTGATATGCTGCAGGGTCCTCCCTCCTTTTAAATTGCCTTTATTACTTTTAAATGAGATCAGTCACTCTGAGGGTAAACACTATCTCCAGAAGCTCTGTGGTGACAGAACAAGGTACATCTG